GAGTTAACCCGTCAAATCTGAGATTCATGTCATGAGAGTATGATAACTAAATAGAAAAAAATCAATATTAGCGAACTAAATTAAACAAAAAAATTAATTAAAAAGAAAAAAGCAAAAAAAAAACCTATATCTAATAATATTTTTTTCAAATTTATTAATTATTATATTAGCAATATTCATTATAATAAAAATAATAATTATAACACAAATAATAATATTTTTAATATTAATTGTAATGTTAAACTTGCATGATCGAAGTTTAAGCAGGTTTGCCTATAATATCAGGCCTAAAAGCCTTGGATCTAGCTGCAACACCAGATCCAATAGCCTTGTACGTGTGTCTGACTGCAAGGTTATATTATAAAAATATAATAACTAAATAAAAAAATTAATATTAAAAAAAATTAATTAAAAAAAACAAACAAAACACCATTCCAATGAATAGTTTTTTGTGAGCAGGTATAGTAAAATCCCCTCATAAGATTACGATAATCTAATTAAAAGTATAGAAAAAAAATCATAAAGTTTAATTTTCAATCAAATCGATATTAAAAGATGAAATTGAAAGAAAAAACTAATTAAGAAAAAGAAAAAGAATATAAATTTAACTCGTTAAACTAGGTTAACCCATCAAACCTAGGATCCGTGTCATGAGAATATGATAATTAAATAAATAAAATAATATTAACAAACTAGATTAAACAAAAAATATTAATTAAAAAGAAAAAAATAACAAAAAAAAACCTATAACTAAAAGGCATTCGTCTTTCACTATGGATTTGCATCGTGTAATCCACAGTAAAATGTTGACCTCTTTTAGTTATTGTTATAATATTAAAAGAAAAAATTAAAAGAAAAAAACCAATGAAAAAAATCTGAATCAATTGGGTTAACCCGTCCAATCTAAGATTTGTTTCAAGAGAGTTTAGATAACTAAATAGAAAAAAATAATATTAACAAACTAAATTAAATAAAAAAATAATTAAAAATAAAAAAATAAAGAAGAAACTACTAAAAGAAAAAAACTAATTAAAAAAAATTTTAAAAAAAAAGACGGGGAATGCAAGGGGGAGCTGGTCTTGGGGCAAAAATGTGCTGAAAAAATGCAGTGAGAACAAAAGAACATAAAGGCATCTTCATGAGCAATTATCTATACACTAATACACATGAGCTATTGCAAAACAGTTTTCTTGGCTGTTATTAAAGGGGAACTACAATATTTATATATAGAATGCGAAAGTGAAGGTACCTCCGCAGAGGATGTTGTTGAGGAGCTTGCTTTTTTTCAACAAACGAAGATAAAAATACCCTGCTTTGAAACCTGCATGTACATCATCTGGAAAAACCATCCAAGATGCATTGTTTGAATAGGACCATTCAAATAATCTTGATCATGATTCTAGGTGAAGAAACTCAAGCCTTAATAATATTGTTTTCAATAAGAAAATCCTAAATAACCTTGAAAAACAACCCAGCTTTTAACAAAATACAAGACCAAAGAGTCATGAAATTATTGATATCCATATATTACAATAAGTATGTATACACACTACACTTTAAATTAAAAGTTTTATAGATTTTAGTTTAAACTAGTATATTAGTTCGCGCTTTATAATATATCAATATTATTTTTTTAAAATATAAAATATATTTTAAAAAATATAAGCCAAAAATCATTCAAGATCTTAGAATCTTAAGTCTGATAACTATATAAAATCCAAGTGAAATGAATCCTATTCTGGTAAAACTTGGAACATATTATTTCTAATGAAAAATTTCTCAATAAAGCTTTTAATAAAATAAAGAATAAAATAGTTATAAAACTACTGAAATCCATTACAATGAGTTTGTATATAGTGCATTCTATAGCAACAAGACTACAGACTTTAGTCTATACTAATTATATGATCCGTGTTTTATTATGGGTTAAATATTTTTATTTCATAATTGTTTTTTGTATATGCAAGTTTTTAAATGTATTATAAAAAATCTAAGTTCAAATAAATTTTTTATGCTTTCATGTAATCAAATACATTGAGAACTATATATGTGAATAAATAAATAAAAAATCATTAATGATATTTAAATATAAAACTTGAAAAATCAAGCAACCAATGTAGATTAAAATACTTAATTTTGAAAGATGGAATATTCACCTAGTTGTGTTTGTTAAATTTGTTTATTTAAATATTTTTTATTTATTAAAACAAACAATAATAGAAATAAAAACAAATTAAATTGATCGAATAAAATAGAAGGAGACAAGACTGCACATATTACAAATATTTTTTGAAAATATTTTTTTTCATTTTAAAAAATAAAGCTCATCCATACAAAAGATATAAAAAAATTATAGATTAATTAGAAAAACTCTTCAACTTTAAATGCATAAACAAAAAAATAATTGTTTTTTTTTAAGAACTCTCCAAACAAAATGAAAAAGCGAAAGGATACTAATTTAAATATAAATTTAAAAAATTAGAGAAAAAACTATATAAAAAAAGAATCATTAATTTAAAAATTTAGAAAAAAATTATATATAAAAAAAAGGCCAAGTGTTGCTGGGCCTGACTAATTTTATCAAAGCTCACAAGATTTAGCTCTTAATTTTTTCATGTATGCAATTTTGTTGTCCACCCCAACTTTTTTTTTTAAAAAAAAATTAGTTGACGCGTTGCTTGCTAAGATAAACGATGCATCATCTAATTTATATAAATTCCATCCATTATGGTGACCGAAAAATAAGAGCTTTAGTTTTTTTATTAAAAAACTCATTTTTCAACTTATTTTGTTAAAAAAAAACCTATAAAATATTGTAGAAATCATGATAAATCTATATAAAGCCTCAAAAAACCTTAAAAGCAACCTTAAAAACTGAAATCAACCCAAATTTAAAAATCAACAGGAGCACAGATATTTTTTCACAAACTTTAAAGGTAAAAAAACTTAATATAAACTTTTCTTATTAAATGGAACCATTTAATACAGATATCGTCCATTTTGGTGGCCTCAATTGATGTCAAAGACACTTTTATTTTTTTACTGTTGAAATTAGATGACTTCTCTCTCTCCTCTCTTAACTAGGGACAAAAAAATAACAAAAATAAATTTTTATATCAAAATTGAATTGAAAAAATATTGAGATACTAAAATTATATAATTTACGTGATTTTTAAAGTTCAAGAATCAAAGTGCATCTTTTGCTAGACTTATAGCATGCCACTTATGTTTGGTGTCTTTTTCATTTTAGTCCCTCTTCTTTCAATCCTACCTCTTCGTAAGAAATCAAAATCAATTAGTCTTTAATTAAGACTAAATCACAAGAAAAAACGTTTGAGAACCACATTGAAAAAAAAACACAAAATTTTGCACATCCCATCCATAATAATGTATGAAAGGATGAACAGTAAAGCATTGTACAGTGAAAAAATCCACGCCTTTTAGAGTAATACTTAATATCCGCAGCAAGTCAGATATTTTTATTTCCTATAAAAGAAATTATATATACAGGTTTTTTCAATGTATTTCTGTAGTTTAAAAAATTTAAGTTCAAATAAAGAAGTTTATAAATACAAGTAATTAAATAAATTGAAAACTATGTGTGTGAATAAATAAAAAAATATTAATGATATCTAAAAAAAACTTTTCAAAATATTTAATCTTAAAAGATAAGATATTTATCCTATTATGTTTGTTAAATTTTTTATTAAAATAATTTTTTATTGAAGCAAACGATAATAGAAATAAAAACATAAATTAAATTGATTGAATAAAATAAAATAAAAAAAATCATGCAAGACTACATTTATTAGAAATATTATTTGAAAATAAACTACTTCATGCATATATATATATATATACACACACACACAGACATGTATGTATGTATATATAGTGTAGCTAAAAAAATTGTAATTTAAAGAGTCTCCAAACAAAATGAAAAAGGGGAGTAATAATTTAAATATAAATTAAAAAATAAAGAAAAACCATTAATTTCAAAAAACAATTGAAAAAAAAGAAAGCAAAGGTTGTGTTGGCCAACCTGTCTAAACCATTTGGTTAGGACCCACACATGAACCTCCCTTGGCAAGCTCGTTTGCCCTATTTTTTTTAATTTCCTGTTTGGCCTTTATTTTATTGTTTTGCAATTAATGTAAATGACATATCGTTCGCCTCACTTTTTTCTAAAAAAAATAAATGATAATGCATCGTTTGATTTGCTCAAATTTTAGCCACTAGTAGTTAGAAAATCAGGTTTTAATATTTTTTTATCAAAAAACTTCTTTTAAACCTGTTATTTTACCCAAAATTCTATAAAAACAACGTATTAACCATGATAAACTTATTTATAACCTAAAAAATCACTAGAAAAACCAAAATAAACCTGAAACAAAATATCAACCTGAGTTCAGGTTTTTTTTTAACAAACTTTAAAGGTAAGAAAAAAAACTTAATATAAACTCTCTTTATTAACTGCAACTATTTGACACCAATATTGTTTGTTTTGATTATTTAAATCAGTGTCAACGATATTTTTTTTCTTTATTGTTGAAATCAAATAACCTCTCTCTACTCTCTCGTCTAGAGATTAAAAAATAACAAAAATAAATTTTTATATGAAAATTAATTAAAAAAAATATAAAGGTACTGAAATTATATAATTTATGTGAATTTTAAAATTCAAGAACTAAAGTACATTTTTTACGTTATTTATAACATGCCATCCATATTTGGTACCTTTTTAATTTTAGTCTTTTTTTTCAATCCTATATTTTTATAAAAAGTCAAAACTAATTGGCTTTTAATTATAATTAAATCACATAAAACAATATTTAAAAACTAAATTGAAAAAACAAAAAATCTCACATAGCTTATCCATGATAACGTCTAAGGGGATAAACTGTTAGCCTTTTACGGTAAAAAAATAAAATAAAATAAAAAATCATGCGGTTTTTGAGAGTTATACTTAATTATTTGTTAACGTTAATTAATATAGAGACCTTTCCAGGCCATTAGCCATCTCTTTTCGTTGAGGTACAGAGAAAGCACCTTTTCCGCCAAAACAGAAGTACATGAAACTCTGGCTTGGGTGCTTGTATAGCCACAGCAAACACTTTGATAATGCATCATCTGAGGCACCCCCTTTTCTGACATCAACAATCATTGGCCCTATGCAATATAAAGGTGGGGTTAAACCATTTGGAACACAGGCACCTCAGTGATAGCTTTGATTGCTTGTGGTTCAAACATGTCGAAAGTGTTCCATATCATCCCCATCAAATTGGGAGTGTAGTGCCGAGACTTTGTTGGGTGGCAGTCCAGGAAATTGCAAACGGGAATCAATTGGAAGGTCTTGGTAGTTGGTTATGGATGGTGGCAAGTAGAGGAATGCGGCAAAACCAGAAGCACCAGCAGTGAAGTGTAAGTAAGCTGGGATAGATGTGTCATAAGTGATGCTGATGGTGGAAGTTGTGATAGCAAGAACAGGGCTGGTGAGACATGGTTTTCAGGCCACCGAGTACTTGAGGGATGTATAGCCGGATAGAGCCAAATGCAGCTTGACCCAAGGTGGCTGCCCGCTGCTTCAGGAGGGGCTTCGCTGGGTGGAGGGAGAGGAATGAGATAAAGAAGATTAGTTTGGGAGATGGAACTGATATACGAGGAAGTGTCAAAAGGCATGATCGCTACTTAGATCGTTATGGAGATGTTGGGAGCTAGCGGCTGATTACAAGACAGTGGCTTCTTTCATGACAGAATGACTCATTCCAAAGGGTTTCAGATTCGGTCAATCTGCAAAAATGACTTTTAAGAAGACAGGACTCTCCAGACACTTCACAGGGATTGTTATTCAAACAAGCACCATGGGAACTAGTTATTGCCTAGGAGCTATATCTCATAAAATGATAATAACCGATAAGGAATAACATCTAGAAAAACCTCCTGTATACAAACCCCTCCCATGAGAGAAACAGTGTTCCAGCTTGCTTAAAAGTGCAAACTTAGGTAGAACTCTTCAGGAACAGAAGTAAAACTTAAATAAATGTGAAGTCAAATGAGAGAGCATGACAAGTTCTGCACCTGTAACCTTCCTATACCCACTAGTACCCCACTAACAATAAAAACCACCCTCATAAACAGTGCATGGGAAACCACCTTAACATAAATCACTAAATACACTGATGAAAAACCATAAGTTTAAGTGAACATCTATCTCTCTAGTGCATAGTCACACCAAAATCTATGCTTCCACCATGGGAACTGCTGGCATTGCGACTGTGTAATGAAAGACCCCTCATGTGGCTATCCACATCAGAACCATCAACCTTCTTTTCCTGAAAGAATTTCTCCCTTTGAATGTGTTTTGCAGGTGGCGGTGGAATTATAACAGGTGCAGGGTGTGCACTGGGTTCTTGTGGCTGCTCTGAAGGAAGTGGCCGTATAAGTGGACGGTTCAGCCTTTCTCCTGGAATGGTTGATCCAATTATGCCCAAAGGGAGACGCTCT